GACAGGCCTCGGTATGAACTTTTCCCTGCATTGAGGGCAGCTGTGAACTCCCTTCTGATCCTCTCCATCAAAGTGGGCTTTAATACAGTTCATACAGTAGCTGTGTCCACAGGGAATAGTCACCGGGTCCTTCAGGACCTCCAGGCAGATGGAGCAGGAGATGCTTTCTGTGTCCAGCTGAACTCCTTTCTGAGCCATTTCTGCTGTCAGAAACTGTTAAACAGTTCAACTTTCCCCTGAACAGAACCGATCTGTGAGCTCCGAAAGACGACAGACTGACAAGCTGAATCAGGAAATGAGGCTTTCCCGTAACACGCTTCCTTATAGGAGCCAACAGGTTTCTCCAGCAGGAAATGCTTTCTGTGTCCAGCCGAACTCCTTTCTGAGCCGTTTCTGCTCTCCGTAACAGCGACCGTCTGAGTTTCTCTTCCTCAGAAAGGAAACTTCTCTGAGCTCTTAGCTGGAAATCACGTGTCTGCACAGAGACCAGAGCCAATCAGCTCTCAGCCTGTCGGCTGCCCCCGCCTCCAGCTGCAGATCTGAGGGGGGGGGGGCAGGAAATGTGATCCGGGGGAGGGGCAGCTGAGGCAGAACAGGGGGCGGCTCCTGCTTCCTCTCTGAGTAAAAAAAAAAGAGTTTCTGATCACATGATGGCTTATTTTTAGTTTCAAATATGCTCCAAATGAAGCCGTGAGTTGAGTTTAATTGAGACGGCTTCTAGAAAAAGTCTCTGTCTGAGTTTCTGTCAGACGGGAAAACAAACTTTAACCCCAAAATATCAAGACCTGTGTTAGAATAATGCAGTGGTTCTCAGTTATTTTCTGTTACGCCCCCCTTGCAAGAAGAAAACTATCCCCCCCTCCACTCCCCACCGTGACTATCCATCTCTGCATAACATTTTAACTTTATTAACATTAAAGAAAAGAAAAAAAGGAAGACATATGGTTAAACTTACAAAGAATAACTTTATTAAATCATGTTTTAAGTCTGCAACAGAAAAGATTTTAAGTGCATCAATGCCTGAAAATAAAAATAAATAAACCCTTGTTTAAACTGTAAACATGTTTGACCAACTAATTGCACCATTGCTAAATTAAATCAAATCAATAAATTACAGTTCATAAATATAATAACTAATAAACTACAAAAACAACAAAAATAATAACTAATTTATTTATTTATATTCAGTTAAGCAACATTAACTCAGGAGCACAGTATATAAAACTCTTAGCTTTCGGGAGACTTTCTTTTGTCTCGTTATCTTTGTCTCTCTCCGCTTTTCTTTTCATCTGTTAAAAACTTTTTCATGTTAGGGGTGTTATGTTGAATAACGGAGGCTACAGACAGAACGCAGATGCTAACCGAGGCTAACCTGTTGTCTTTAAGTCGTAAAATGTTGAACTGAAGTAACGATGAGAGCGCCACTGCCCCTACTGGAGTGGATGCGCAATTACACTTTATGCCCCACTATTTGAGAAGCACTGGAATAATGTTCCATAAGTTATCATGCATTCTCTGAATTCCATATGTGTGTGTGTATAAGGGTTTAACTGTGCTTGTGTGTTAGAAAGAAGGGTATGTCATAAGTACAAGCTGTTTTGCATATAATGTTGTCTGCTGACCACAGTAGTGACCCTTGAGACCACAGTCCTGTTTGGAAACAGAGGAAAGACTAAACTTTTTTCTTCCTGTTCAATCAGTACATCCTGTGATTAAGAACGATGTGTAATCAAACATGTGTGCTCCTTCTGTCTTTGGAGAAGATGAAGTAACAAATCTGTGATAGGGTGGAACCAAATAAATGGAGAGGGGA